TTTAGAGGGAGTGGAAGGGAGGGAGGGAGGGAGGGGGGGAGGGAGAGAGAGAAATATTGATGTGAGAGAGACAGATCAGTTGGTTGCCTCTGGGGCTGGGGATCAAGCCTGAAACCCAGGTACATGCCCTTGACCTGGGTTGTAAATTAATTTTTATATAAAGCTTAAATATCTACTCCAGAATCATTTGTTGAAAAGTGTCTCTTTCCTCCATTAAATTATTTTGTGCCTTTGTTAAAAATCAGTTGGACATTTGTGTGGGTCTCTCTCTGGGTTGTCTCTTCTGTTTGATCTGTCTCTCTGCCAGTGTTGTACAGTATTGATTGCTGTAGTTGCATAAGTCTTGAAATTAGGCAGACTGAGCCCTCCCACTTTATTCTTTTTCAGAGTTGTTTTAGCTATTCTAGTTCCTTTGTCTTCTGTAGATGGATCTTGTCTATAACTGCAAAAAACCTTGCTGGGATTTGGATAGGTATGACATTAAACTTTGTATAATTCGGGAAGAACTGAGTCTTTACTATGTTGAATACTCCAGTCCTTGAACATGGTCTATCTCCTGTTATTTAGATCTTCTTTGCATTGTCTCATTAGCATGGTGTCGTTTTTATCATACAAGTCTGAACATGTGTTGTTAGATTTATTCCTAAGGATTTTATTTTTTTGAGTGATTGTAGTTTTATTATTTTAAAAATCTTCTCCCGAGGATATTTTTTCCATTGCTTTTCAGAGAGAGTGGAAGAAGTGGAGGGAGAGAGAGGGAGAAAGGGAGGGAAACGTCAATGTGAGAAAGACACATCGATTGGTTGCCTCCCACAGTCGCCCTGACCAGGGCTGGGGATTGAGCCTGCAACCGAGGTATGTGCCAGTGGCTGGAATTGAACCTGGGACCCTTCAGTCAGCAGGCTGACGCTCTAACCACTGAGCCAGACTGGCTAGGGCAATAGTGTTATATTTTTAATTGTGTCCACATGTTCATTTCTAACATACAGAAATACAACTGATTTTTGTATGTTTATCTTGTATCCTGTGAGCTTGTTTAACTCATTCTCATAATTTTTTTGTAGGTTCTTTGGAATTTTCTACATGGGCAATCATGTACAGTATAGTCCCTCTTATTTGCGGTTTTGCTTTCTGTGGTTGCGGTTATGTGGTCAACCACGATCTGAAAATATTACATGGAAAATTTAAGAAATAAACAATTCATAAGTTTTAAATTGCATGTCATTCTAAGTAGCATGGTGAAATCTCCAGCTGTCCTGCTCTGTCTGGCCTGGTGTGCTGTATATGCTCCATGCTGGTCAGTCATTAGTCTGGGTTATCAGATTGGCTGTTTTGGTACCACAGTGCTTGCATCCTAGTAACCCTTATTTTACTTAATAATGGCCCCAAAGTGTAAGAGTAGTGATGCTCTTTGAATATTTGTGATAGTGATGCTCTTTGATGCAATTTGAATATGCTGAAGAGAAGCTGTAAAGTGTATGTATGCGTAGGAAAAAACATAGTATATATAAAATTTGGTACTATCTGAGCTTTCAGAAATGTTTGGGGTCTTGGAATTTATCCCTCATGGATAAGGGAGGACTATTGTAATCTGCAAATAGGGACAGTTTTATTTCTTCCTTTCTGATATGAATGACTTTTACTTCATTTTCTTGCCTTATTGCACTGGCTACAACTCCCAGCACTTTAAGATTGGTGATAAGGGAATCCTTCTCTTGTTCCCAGTCTTAGGGGGGAAATTATCTTTCACCATTAAATATAATGTTAGCTGTAGATTTTTGTAGATGCTTTTTATCAAGTTGAAGACATTCTCCTCTATATTAGTTTTCCTATTGCTACTATAACAAAGTACCACAAATTTAGTGCCTTGAGCCCATGCAAATTTATTATCTTTCAGTTCTGGATGTGAGAAGTCCATAATAAGTCTTATGGGTTAAAATTAAAATATAGGCAAAGCTGCATGAGGCTTTAGGGATGTATTAGTCTCTTGGGGCTGCTGTAACAAATTACATAACTGAATGGCTTAAGAGAAACAGAAATATACTCTTACAGTTCAGGAGACTAGAAATCAGAAATTGGACCCAAATCAGAGTGTTGGCAGGGCCCATATTCCCTCAGGAGGTTCTAGAGGAGAACCTGTTCTTTGCCTCTTCCAGCTTCTAGTGGCTGCTGGCATACCTTCATCTGTGGCTGCATTACTCCAGTTTCTGTCTCCAGGGCCACATGGTCCTCTTCTATTGTGTATTATTTCTGCCTCTCCCTTACAAGGATACTTGTGATTAGATTTGAGGCCCACCCACATAACATAATCCAGGATAATCTCCCCATCTCAAGATCCTTAACTTAATCACACAGGAAAAGGCCCCTTTTCCTTATGGATTGAATTGTGTCCACCCTCAAATTCATAGGTTGAAGTTCTAACCCCCAGCACCTCAGAATGTGACCTCATTTGGGAACAGGGTGATTGCAGGTGTAATTAACATGAGGTTATACTGGAGTTAGGTTGGGTCCCTAATTCAGTTTGACTAGTGTCGACATGTGCCATGTGAAGAGACAGACACAGAAGTGCGACGATGCGAGACTTGGAGAATGCCGTCTACGGGCCACCAGAAGCTAGGGGAGAGGCTTAGAACAGAGTCTCCCTCACAGCCCCTGGCAGGAAACAAGCCTGCCAACACCTTAATTTCAATTATAATCTTTGCTTCAACATCAAACATAATTTAGAAAACTCAGAAGGAAAGTCTGTTGTTTTTACCCATATTTTTGCTTAATGTTCATTCACGCGC